GTGTGTGTGTGTGTGTGTGTGTGTGTGTGTGTGTGTTTTCAAGTTTTTCCATTGTTTACCATCCAAATGGAAATTCAGTGAAAGCTCCAAACACCCAGAATCATGGACTACAGCAGTGGAAAGAGTTCTGGTGATGTGGTGCCTTTGCTTCATTTCACCAACAGAGAAATTGTAGCACAGGGAGTAGAAATGGTCTAGTGAGGCTAAAGAAGGTTCTAGAGTAGATACTACATGTTTGACATTAGGCAGACCTAGGTTGAATTCAGCACTAAATTGCCACCTTGGCAAATTTATACCCAGCCTTCCATCCCAGATCACCATTATTCCCTGTTTAGAGAAGCACCTCACCCATAAGGGTATTAGGAGCATTAAATCAGCAAAAGCAGGGTGCAATGTTCGGCACACTGAGCTATACATACTGTGTGCTCAAGAAAACACAACCATTACTAGCTTTAGGGTTATTTTTATGATTATTATTGACCTAATTCACTTAAACTCAGTAAATGTTTACTGAATTCCTCCTTGTAAGACACCATACTGTTATGCGGGTGAATGAGGCAGAATTATCTGCCCATACACTATAGGCAATTCAATACAAGTACCTAGCACAGTCCCTGACACACAGTAGATAGTTAAGACACATTTGTTGAATTGAATTAAACTCAAGGTGCTTATAATCTAACAGGGGATTTAATAATGCTAAGAGTAAAAAATGTGAGAAATACTCAAAGAGGTTTATGACGTGCTACGGGAATAGAAAAACAAAGACGTATTCTGTCTTCGAACAGGGGAGAGTGTAAAGAAGAAACATCCATGCTGGTCTTACCAAGAGGGTTGATATTCAGTGGGTATAGCCATTCCAGGCAGGAGAAAAGAGTTTAAGAAAATTCCTACAGGGGTGGAAAATTGCATAGTACGTTTAATAAGTAGTGGGTTATGTGCTTAGGGAATTACATAGAACAATTGCATGGGTCGTATGCATGAGGGAATTTCAGCCTGCAATGCAACAGAGGTGAGTTAAGACTAAGTCAAATGAAACCTGAAACGGTGTTATGAAGGAGTGTGCACTATACATCGAGGCTTGGGATTTTGTACAAAGAACTAAAGGGCAGAGAAAGTGTGAAAGTAGTTAGACCCAGCATGGGTATATCAAAAAGTCCTTGATGGGAATGATAAAGAACTAAACCAGGGCGGAGGCAGAGAAGAGGGCCAGGAGGGAGAAGTTAAAGAGACATAAGTGGAATGGATCATACTTAGCAACCAATTAGATGTAGAAGGAAAAATAAGAGGAGATTCAGAGATTACTCTTAGTTTTTAGACTTTTGAGGGTATAATGGTGCCAGAGAAGAGAGAAGGTTATAGATGATGGATGAGGAAGGCAGAAAATTATTAGTTCACTTTTAAACTGAACAAGTTAATGTGTGTTCAAGGCAGGAAAAAAAAACTGGTCTGTGATGTCAAGAAACTAGACATTCAACCAACAGGAGTTAGTCAGGGGAGCTAATGTCTTTAGATTGGGCAATGGACTTGCTAATCTTGTGTTGTCCCTTATCTGAAGTTGCAGCTGCATTTCACAACCTACAGATTCCCCCACCTTACATAAAAATCAACATTTGCAAGTACATATGCCCACCTAGCAATTGTTGTCACAGGTGGTTCTTACTATGTGGGAAATCAGATAACTTACCCAAAAAAGAGCCCCTGAGGATCAGTGAAGGCACTGAAGGCTGGAAGCGGGATGAGGCAAGCAGGGCCCTTCATTCGGGTTTCTGCAAGTGCCCACCTTGCACTTGCAAGACCCTGAGAGTCAACGTTTCCTTGGATTTTGCACCTTGGGCACATCACTTGCCTCACCTAGTCCCAACCCTAGGAGTAGTGTGAAGTATTTCCCAGGACAAAGTAGCAATAAAGATTCTTTATTAAGAAGACTTTATGTTGTAGTACAGGGGTCACAAAACTTTTCTTGTAAAGTACCAGGTAGTAAATATTTCAGGCTTTGCAGGCCATATGGTCTCTGCACCAACTACTCAATTCTACCAAGGTAATGGGAAAACAACCACAGACTATATGTAACGAATGGGCATGGCTGTGCTGCAATAAAACTTTATTTACAAAAATGGGAGTCAGGCCAAATTTGGCCCTCAGGTTATAGTTTGCCAGCACTGTTGTGTGGAAGGAGCTAGCTAGACCTTAGGTTTAAATTCCAAACCCACCATTTACAAAATATCTGGATTTGGACGTGTACCACTGTAAAAAATGTGATTAATTATACCTTCTCCTCATTGATTGTGGGGATTTGAGAAAATGTATTTAAAATGTCTCATAAATAACAGGCATTCAAATAGGGCAGTAGTCTTTTTTTTGTAAAGTTTTTATTTACTTATTTTGAGAGACAGAGAGAGAGACAGAGAGAGACAGAGAGAGACAGAGAGAGACAGCATGAGTCAGGGAGGGGCAGAGAGAGAGAGAGAGGAAGAGAGAGAATCCCAAGCAGGCTCTGTGCTGTCAGCGCAGAACCCGATGCGGGGCTCGAATTCACAAACAGTGAAATCATGACCCAAGCCAAAATCAAGAGTCAGACACTTAACTGACTAAGCCACCCAAGCACCCCAGGACAGTAGTCTTTTTAATTACAAAGCTCAATAAGAATAAGAGCTAACACTATTTGAATGCTTTTATGATATACAAGCTACTATGTAAATAATGCACTTTACAGAGTTAATTTCACTTAAACTTCCCACAACTCTTGGAAGTAGGAACTATTATAGTATTCCTTTCTACTTGTGGGGAAACTGAGTCATGAAAAAATGCCCAAGAGATGCTTACATAGATAGCAAGTGATATAGCTGGCACTTAATCCCTAATTTTTTTTTTTAATTTTTTTTTCAACGTTTATTTATTTTTTGGGACAGAGAGAGACAGAGCATGAACGGGGGAGGGGCAGAGAGAGAGGGAGACACAGAATCGGAAACAGGCTCCAGGCTCTGAGCCATCAGCCCAGAGCCCGACGCGGGGCTCGAACTCACGGACCGCGAGATCGTGACCTGGCTGAAGTCGGACGCTTAACCGACTGCGCCACCCAGGCGCCCCACTTAATCCCTAATTAAATGAACTTCACATGCCTTGGTGCTAATCTCTTTGCTAGTTAATTAGCTCCACCAATTCACCTCCAACTGAAATGCTCCAAATCTCCTCAAGTTCTGCAGGGCTTTTCATAACTCATCACAGCCTAACACAACTGAAAACAGTTTAATACATAACTTTTGGAAAATTCACCTTCAGGTAAACACTCCGTATCTTACATCAGTTAAATACTTATCCCCACCCCCTGCCTGCCCATCTATTTTGCCCCTCCCAACAAATATCTCCAGTTAAAGGAAAACAGAATATTATTAAGAAAGCTAATGCAAACCTATTTCAAAAAATTTATGCTATAATCACCCTAAAAGCTTGCAATTTCAAAGCTAGGCTGCAGAACAGCACACTGGATTAATTATGCCAGACTGCAGCAATAACCTTGAATTAAAGCTGCAACCTTCTATTTTTAAGAAACACTTGCCTTTCTGGTTGATGAAACCTGTCGTCCCATCAGGTAACAGACGTGACCAGGAAAGAGAGAAGCGGTAATGAGTCAATCCAAGCTGTTTGATACATTTCAAATCTTCCTCCCACAGAGTGTAGCTGCCACAAGCTACATCGCCAGTCTGGTTCTGGAAAACTCTCTCTCCTCCCTGATGGGTGAATGTGTCCCAGACACTAGGGCCTTTTCCATCTGCATCCCAGCCTCCTGAGAAAAAGAAGAAAATGAAACGGTTACACTCGACATCAAGAGGCATATGTGGAATGTAAATATTTGTCGCCAAAAGAACATACCTCATTAACTCAATGTACCGTATTTATAACTTTAAAATATGCCTTTAAAATAACATGCATGAGCGAGTTATGTGTTTAGCTGTCCTTGATCCCTGAAACTGACTGGTAGCAAATGAAAAATGATTGCGTACTGCTGCTGCATCACAGGCTTTCATGGTTCATTTTCTGAAGATTTCCCAGCTGGTAAACAGAGGCAGGCCCCAGCTTATGAATGTCTGAGTTGAAAATATCTCCTCCTGGCCATGACTGACACGTCTTGTCCTTGCTGTGCCTGATGGAGTCTCAGGACCTTGTCTTTGGCCCTCTACACTTGAACCCTATTTTCGGTTAGTTACCACTGGAGCCTGCAATGGTCCAGTCAATTATTGTGGGGAGGGCACTAGTTTCTGCCGCTGTTGACATGATATTAGCATCCTACATTCATTCATTCATACCTCCATTAATTCCACAAATGTTATGTGTCAGGCTTTATGCTGAGCGCAGGAGATACCAGGGCGAACTCTGCTGTGCTTCCTGTCCTTGGAGAAGTTAGCTATGGGCAACTGCAAAACAGCTGAGGTAAAAGCCTTGCCAGAAAACCAAGGAGGGGCATTTATCCAGATGTGGACTAGAGTCGGGGGTCTCTTAGAAAAATGACTTTTAGACAGACACCTAAACGAAAAGTTGGGTCATCAAGATGAATTGCTGGGAAGTGGGGGTGGATACAAAATAGAAAAAAGGGCAGCTAAGATACAAAACCTCACAGGAAAGAGAGAGTGTTGCACATTAGAAGAACAGAAAGTAAAAATTGCATTAGATTTGGAGTATCTGTACACATAGAAATGTTGTTTAAATGGAGTTAAAATGCATTCTATGGTATAAAGGAGTAATTTTAAAAATCTCGTGACTCCCTAATTCCACTTCTAGGTACATACCCTGGAGAAATGCTCATGATTTTCACAAAGAGATTATATGAGATCATTGAGGCAGAGACGTCTGTACTAACAAAATCCTGGAAACAACCTACATTCTACCAACAGTAGAACAGATCATTAATTTGAGGTATAAGCATACAGAGGAAACACTAATCAGCAGTTAAGGGAAATGAATCAGAGAGTAACCCTGTGCTACACTCTGAATGTTTGTATCCCCCAAAACTTACGTTGAAATCCTAATGGCCAACGTGAAGGTATTAGGAGGTGGGATCTTTGGGAGGTGCTTCAGACATGAGGGAGGAGCCCTCATGAATGAGTTGGTGCCCTTGTAAGAGACCCCAGAGTTCCCTAGTTCTCTGTGCCATGTGAAAACATAGATATCTGTGATGCAGAAGAGGGCCCTTGCCCAGCCACTCTCACCTCAGACTTGCAGCCTCTGGAATTGTGAGAAATAAGCCTTCCAGTTTATGGTGTTTTGTTATTAGACTCCAAATGGACTCAGCCTCAAAACTATGAAGTTATACAAACAAAAAAACTGAGATCCAAAAGAATGTATCCGGGGATAAAGAGATGGAATTCAGAATTTTAGGGCAGTAAGTATGCTACATAATAATGTAATTGTGGATATATTTATCAAAACCCATAAACTATGAACTTTAGTTAATGATACTGCATCGATATTCATTCATCAGTCGTAATAATTGTTCCACAGTAATGCAAGATGTTACTAGTAAGGCAACCAGGGGAATGGGGTATATGGAAACTCTCAGGATTTTCTGCCCAATTTTCCTGTAAACTTAAAATCATTCTAAAATATGAAGCCTACTGATTTTTTTAAAGAATATATACAATATGAAAAAAAGAACATATACATTTATCATGTTTTGTATATTTTTAAATATGTAAAAACAATCCGTGTATTTTCTGAACATATAGATACAAGGTAAATGTATAACATGCCTGGGAATGGTCAATTCAGGCTAGTGGTTACCATTGGGGAGAAAAAGAGGGTAATGGAACCTGGGAGGAGTGTGACTGCAATTCTTATGTTTCCTTCCTTAAACTGGGTTAGGAGCATATGGGTAGGTATTTATTACATTATTCCCAACCCTTTTAATGTGTCTAAAATATTTCATAATTATTTTATTTTAACGTGTATTTATTTACTATTTTGCAAGAGATTGTGTGCGTGTGTGTGCGCGCATGTGTGAGCGGGTAAGGAGCAGGGAGAGAAGGAGAAAGAGAATCTCAACCAGGCTCCATGCTATAAGCATGGAGCCTGATGCAGGGCTCGAACTCACGAATTGTGAGATCATGACCTGAGCCAAAATGAAGAGTATGATGCTTTAACAGACTGAGCCACCCAGGTGCCCCTCATAATAATTTTTATATAAGAAAGGAGGTCACAGATAGAGTAGAGTAGACCAAAGCAATTACAGGAAGGTCTTTCAGGTCTCACTTAGCATCTACTTACTCATATTGTGCATACAATTCAAACAGGATTGGGTATTAGGTTTTGGACCCACACAAGGACAGCATAGGCTGTAAGTTATGGGAGGGGACCACGGGGAGACAGGAGAGGCTAGTAAAAGGAGGAGCTCTGACAAGAGCAAAAATGACAGTTGAAATCAAGTAGGATACTAAGTATCTATACAAAGAAATTGTGAATATTAAAAATTACTATACTCTGGAGTCATAATATAGAGGCAAAAAGCTATATACATTCCAATGGCTCTCAATTTATGTCTATAAATGAGGTTTAGAGGGATGGGGGAAAATACTGATATCCAATCTTAGAAGGAAACAGGTATGAATACTAAAATACAATTTAGTCAAATATGGTGCTCATAGTTTTGGATAAGTGATTTAACAGATGAAGAACTTAATCTCAGAGAGTTTAAGCAATAGCGTTCTAGTAAATATTAACAACTGGCTATACGTTTAAAACTGTGGGGGCACCTGGCTGGCTCAACTGGTAGAGCATGCTACTCTTGATCCTAGGGTTGTGAGTCCAAGCCCCACATTAGGGAGAGAGCTTACTTAAAAAAAACAAATAAAAATAAAGTATGTGTACATATGTTAATTAGAAATTTTATTGACACAAAAGCCATGTAGTACACAATTTCCAAATAATATGTAATGCTCTTTCTATAAATTCCATATGGCCAACTGATTCTCATAGAACGCTCACTTAGGTTTTTGCCAAATTTTTATATTGGTAGCCAAGCTATGGCTGCGACCTAACAAATGTGTGTAGTTCTCATGTGAATGTTAACTGATATGTTTGCTTAAATTAACAGGCAAGATAAAAGGAAAACAACAGAATTTCACTTGTTCATCAGTAATATGAGCTACATCTTCACTGAATTGGATAATGTTTTCAAACACTGGAAGAAAATTTCCTCAAACATCAGTCCTACTTAGAATGTAACGCTACAGATGTGACACACTTTTAACTGTACTCTGAATTATTAAGATTGTCTCTATCACTTTCTTAGGTCTTGACAGTCAACAAAACGATACATTAAATACTGACTTGGCAGCACTTGGCCAATTCCTACAGTGTTAATACTTCCACCATGGCCAAGTTCAAGCAACCAAGGGGATAGCACTGAAGGTGGGTGGGGAAGAGATGAATGGTAGCACAGCATTATATAGGATTTCTTCTATACAGATACAAGAATAAGCTAAGTAACCTTGGGTTATTTACAGAGGCATGGGGAATAATAAAATTTAGTAAATTTCTATAATTTAATTTTGAATCATGAATATGTTAAGAATCAGCTCACAAAATTGCTGAAAGCTTAACAGTAGGTACTGGTGAACCAGTACAAGCTGGCTTCCCCAGTCACTGGTAAGTGGCTTGTCTAAGAGCACACTGGTAGTAAGTAGCAAAGCCAAGTTGTATTTCCAGATCTGCCGGATTTTGAAGTCTAAGTCCTTCCAATGAAATATGCTACTTTTAGTAATAATTACTCTGAGTGATGAAGGAAGAGTCAATTGATGCCTGTGCTAGTCAATTTATAGAGCTTAAGAAGTGCATAACATGATTTATTATACCTTTTGGAAAATACTCCATTGAAAGTGCATAAAACAAATTCTGGCAATTTTGAAAGGTAAATGTCAGTTAGTAGGAAAACATGGAGCAGCTCATCCTACACGTACACTAGTTAGAGCATATCTAGGCAATATTGTTTCCACGAGAAACTAAAATTTGAATTTTAATTAACCATTATAATTGATATTTTGATAAAAAAATATAGTGGGTGGGACTCATCAGTACATTAATGTAAATTTTGCTGAATTAGTGGTATCAATAACTCACTTGTTCACTATGGATTTTCTTTAGATGCAATTATGTCCATATTCTAAAAGTGTGACTGTCCTTTATAAGGAATGAGACTACCATTTTCAGATGAACTACATACCCTGAGACATCCTTCAGACAACTACAGTTTCTGGATGAAATATAGGAACTACATTTTTAAATGTGTCATTGATCTGGTGGGATGGTAGGTAACTCAAAAATAAAGTGAGTGAGGCAATTCAGAAGCACAAATGAATAACGAGGCAGGCTTTTGTCCTGAGAGCATCTGCCAATCCCAGATGATGTGAGCTGCCATTTTAATGGCCTTCTGGGACCAGGCAGAAAGGAGCAAAGTCTAAATCTTATCAAAGATGGGAAGCCACATGAAGATGTTTACATAAGGCTGGAAATGGAAGGACCCCACACTCTAAATAAGAAACAAACCCTACCTGAGAAAGAGGCAACAAAGCAACTAGCTTGACACAAAGTTGGGTGGAAGGGGGAAATGACTCCTCAATATCTGCACCAAAAATCCAACCCTCCAAACATTAATCAAGTGTGATAATGAAAAAAGATACTATCAGACATATGAGCTCTCACTGGATATTGAAAAAAAAAATTCCTCTCATTGGATATTACAGGAGGATAAATTTCACCAGAATAATCATGCATACCAAGAGAGAAAATTCTAGG